TATTCACTGTCACATTAAGGATGGGCTCTCATGATAACGAGGTCAGAAGGCTTTTGTAAGAAGAGATCATTCATGGGGGCGCCTGGGTGGCTCAGTCATTCATGCATCTGCCTTTGACTCCAGTCCTGATCTCGGGGTCCTGGGATGGAGCCCCACATCAGGCTCCCCGCTCAGCGGGGAGTCTGTTTCTCTTCCTCTGCCCCTATCATGTTCTCTCTTTCTCTCTCTCAAATGAATAAGTAAAATCTTTTTTTTTTTTTTTTTAAAAAAAAAAAAACAGCAGTAGTTCACCGACAGGGCATAGGTAAGGGTTAGAGAAAATGGCTGGCACTATTGTAACAATCCCCATGATCATGTGCACCACAGTAACACAGATGTGCCCTGTTAAAATGTCCCTGATCATTGGCTTCTGTCCTTCAGAGTAAGCTCCTGCTATTATTTAAAGGACTTTACAAGTCACAGTGCAACATTTTTGCACGACTAAATGGTTGACCCTGCTTATAGCATCACAGTAGTTTTATGTTGGCATCACTCTTTATTATTGTTACTACTTCTCCCTGTGTACTTTTCATGCTCTGTAGTCACCAGTTTACTTGTTTGTCCCCTCTACCACATCTGTATACTGCTCACGGGCAAAATTGTCTTAGTCATCCCTGTAGCACAAACGCCTGGAATAAAGGCCTGGAATGTATTCAGTAGTGAAAGCACATTTGTCAGAAACATGAGCAAAAGAATAAATACTAATAGATTAGATCTTTCCAGCAATCAAGTGTCTCTGTGAGGAGGAGATGCTGAATGTTTTCATGTGTATATATGAGTGTGTGGATGTACTTCTGTTCCTGTGTCAGAGAAGTCACTGAATCACCTTGCTATACACTCTGCATTCTACACACATAGGTGAGAGGAGAAGAGGGAGAAAGGAGTACGTGTGCATACAAATTTTTTTTCCATCTGGCTGGAATGGGAATAATTTTAGTTATCAGCCACTTGGATGAAGCCTCCTTGACTATCTGAGGGTGAATATTTCCCTGTCTGAAATGGAAGATGGATTGCTCCATCACTAAGTAAGTGTGTGGGCTCTCTCACAGGCCACACCTGGGTGATATGTGGGCAATACAATGGAGAGGCAGACACAGGTATAGAAGGACAGTGTCATTTGCTGTGGAAATCTTGGAGATTTAGGTATGTGATTCATGAGAAAAGCAAGAAGTCACTCTTATGGGCATGGTCCCAAGATCCCAAATGGCTAACGGATTTCATCCTGACTCTTTCCTTCATTCTTTATATAATTACCTGAAGGCCTTATACAAGCTAGGCACTGTTCTAGGCATTGAAATTGTACCTGTAAACAGAACGGGCAAAGCTCCTCTGTCATCATGGAACTGCATAGGAGTCTGGGTCCCTGGGGGGTGGCCACCTCAAGCCCCGGACTTCAGAGAGACTATTCGACCACATCCAAGCTCAAAGTCATGGCTGATGGGCGGGGGTGGGGGTGGGGGTGGTCAGACAAGAGGATGGGATGGAACAGGGATAGTATACATTGCATATCCTCCAACCCTCATTTTAGAAGGAGCCTCCCATGCTAAGATTGGGAGGGTGGGGACCTGAAGAAGTTAAAATTAGGAAGGAGCAGAAAGAGATCAAATTAAAAGAGATTAGGACTTGGGGCACTTGGGTGGCTCAGTGGTTGAGCATTTGACTTTGGCTCGGGTTGTAGATCCTGGGGTCCTGGGATCGAGTCCCACATTGGGCTCCCTGCAGGGGGCCTACTTCTCCCTCTACCTGTGTCTCTGCCTCTCTGTGTGTCTCCCATGAATAAATAAATAAAATCTTAAAAAAGAGAGAAAAAAAAAGAAAGATGAGGACTTAACCCCAAAATAAAAACATGCAACCCAGTGCTGCCTGAAACTGTATTCCCAGTCTGTTGGACTGAAAGCCTTGTCTATGATCCTCTGATAAATAATTAATTCATCCAAATTTATATGGTGATTAGAAGAGTCTTTTAGATTCAACAACTTCCAGGCTCTTTTTAGCCCCAATTTTAGTGTGGCACCTAATTCCTGCATCTCTTTTTTTTAAGATTTTATTTATTTATTAATGAGGGAGAGAGAGAGAAAGAGAGAAAGAGAGAGAGAGCAGCAGAGACACAGGCAGAGGGAGAAGCAGGCTCCATGCAGGGAGCCTGACATGGGACTCAATCCCGGGTCTTTAGGATCACACCCTGGGTTGAAGGTGAAGGCGCTAAGCTGCTGAGCCACCTGGGCTGCCCCAATTCCTCCATCTTTACAGACTCCCTGCAGCTGGAGTCAGCTAACAACACGTGCACTCTTGTGGCATGTCGGGTCAAACTTCTGCCAAGCACAGGGTTTCCTGGGCCTGGGTGCAGGGCTTCGAAGATGGCTCATATGGAAAAATAATGAGCAAGGAACTGATGAAGCATCAGTCAGTTCACCTGCCTCCAAACCTGAAGGAACACCAGGCTCACTTCCCTCTCCAGTAAGTCTGAGGAGTGTGCGAATCCCATTCATTCTCCAGACGTTTGCTTCTCTGTACCTCCAGTTCTCCACTTTCAACGTGGATTGGAATAAATCGCTTTTAAATTGCTCAGAGACACAGAGGAAGGAGTTAGAGGCAGAAAGGGTTATAAATGCAAAGCCTGACTGGTCTTTAGTGTCATTATTTCAAAGCCCAAGATCCATTCATTTTAGTGCCTGCTGCTGTGTTCTGGGTATGAGGGGAGTCTCTGCAATACACGGCCTCATTTTCATCATATTTGCCAACTGTTTTAGCCATAATTCCAGTCGGAGTGCTTTAATACATTCTAGTTGGATGAACAGGCAATACAAAATGGGATCAGTGACATCCTGTGAAGGCACCAGTTTTTCAAGGATAAGTCTATGCCCCTCACATTCAAAATTCAGGATGCGGTCCTTGACTCTTGGGTAATCTCTCACATCATGGCCTGGACATCCCAGGCCACTTCTCTTTTCCTCCCCGGGACATCGAGGACCTCAGCTTCGGCCTATTTCCCTTTTCTGACAGGGTAAATGGGTGGTAGGTAAGTCTGGGTTCTTTTAAAATTTCCAAGGCTGAGTAAGACATTCACGAGGCTGGGTTAATAGGAGTGCGCGAGACAGTAATGACACGCTGTCGAAAACCAGCGCTGCCAAATGTAATTTTAAAGGAGCTTGAGCTTTTTCTACCATCTGATGTGGGGAAAAGTAAAATGAGGCAAATGGCAAAAATAGCATTGCCACTAAAGGGCCTGGACATTCTAACGATTCTAAAATGTCATCCTGAGACAGAAAAAGAACGGAAAGCCGAGAGTGCAAGCTGGGGAACACGCTTCACTCCTGGATTGCCACAAATAGTCATTGGACTACATATGATCTTGCGAGGAAATGAGATCTTAATTAATACAAACCAGATCTCTGGCTAAGGAGATAATTTATCCAATTATTTTATTCATGGAATCACCAAATGACTTGGAGGTAGAAATGATAAAATATATTCACATATGGAGAAACTGAGGCAGAAAGGAGCTAGATATTTTGTTGGCTGGTGAGTGTCCATTCAGTGTTCTACAGTTTGGGTGTTTATTCATGAGGATGGTACCTTAACGGCCTAGCAGAGCTTTAATTTGCAAAATAAATAAATAAATTAAAATTAAAATAAAAAAAAAATCATGAGTAAGGGTCACCTCCCAGACAAAGTAAGTGACTGTGGGCAAGCCAAACACTCTAGCCTACTTTTTCCTGTTTGTTTGTTTGTTTATTTATTTATTTATTCATTCTTTTTCCTGTTTAAAATGAAGTTAACAACAACAGTACCTTCTCCATCTACCTCTTTGGGCTGTTATGAGAATTAAACAGGAAAGCATATGTGAACACACTTGCCCAAATCCATATATCACACAATGATGAGAAATCACTGGTAAGCCACAGAGCCTCTCACCCACTCAGCCTTCTCCCTACCTTAAAAATGAAGACTCCCCACCAGTCAGGGCCCCGAACAGAAATATCCACTGTCCCGTGAAGATAAGCTGCCCTGTGCTTTAAGGAAAGGATCACACTTGTTTTCTTCACTCTGATATCCCTTGCACCCTGAATGGCTCTTCAAAGCCAAACTTGGTCCACTTGCAAGTCCTCTAACGTCATTTTGTGCTTTCACAGAAGAATTATAGGCACTAGGTCAAAAGAATGCCTTCATCATGCCACCAAAATACAGTTCTCCATCGGGGGCTCCCTCAGTTACCTAGACCATGGGGTCTGAAGTCTGTCTACGCCTGTGACAACTGGCCCCTCAGCCCCTTATCAAATGTTTCCTCCCACTATTTCCCAGCAATAGAGCAGCTGAGCAGCTTTGTGGCTCTCCTCTGAATGTGTCTTCTCTGCCCCCACCCTGTGACTCTCCCCCACCTCCCCTGAGTGCCAGGTGTGTCCACACCCTGCCCATCGTTCACCTCCTACGTCTTTCACAGTGCCTTTCCTGCTTGAGCCTGAAGGGCCTCTACCCTTCTACCATCTGAACTTCTTCCGTGTCCAGTACAAACTTTTTGAATGAGAAGGTGTGAGGAAAAGCCAGGTGGGGGGCCGATTCCTTGAATGGTGCCCTTAGGGAGGTGGGGGAGCCAAGTAGCCCAGGCTTGCTGGGAAAGCTGCTAAGTTATCACAAGGGCCTGACCCTTGAGACAAGGCCTTCCCTTTTCTGTTTGCCACCGTATCCCCAGCCCCTCACTTGATGCCTGGCACAGAGTAGGTCTTTGGTAAATAAGTTTTAAAATAATTTTAGACTTAAAATAAGTTTTAAATAAGTTTTAAACCTTCCACAATTAACTCTTAAGCTACAGCTGATCTAGAAAACCACTGCCCAGAAACGACCCAACGAGCTACCTTAACATTGCAAAGATAGCATGAGAGATTCTGATCGTGTCTGCAACACCAACAGAAACAAACTGTGAACATCGCTGATGGATTTTTACAGCATCACTCAAGACCTACCTTGGTTTCTCGGAGGAGAAATTGCAGGTCTCGTCCACTGAGGATACCGTGGTTTTTCACGTAACTGGGAATATTTTTCGTGCTGGAGCCATAAACAGTTGCGTGTACTTCCATGTACGTGTGAATAATATCCAAATAGATTTTCTTATTCTAAAGAGGAGACACAAAGGGAAGGCATTTCTTTTTTTCTTTTCATTCTTGTAACAACCTGCCTCATAGCTGGAGGCCACGGAGACAGAGATCTTAATATGGAGATTGTAGGAATTCGCCAATCCAACCCGTATTATTTCTTTCAAAAGTAATCTGACTGGATTTTGAGGGCAAACATAGTCATAGTGCCGCTGTACAATTCTGCAAGAAGGAACATATTATGCAGCAATATATTACTGAATATCCAACGATAGCTCAAGGCCAATTGTTTTAAAGTATTATCCTCGCTTTGTAAATTACCAGGGACCCAACACTTTGCATTTGGCTCCTGTGCCTTATGGGGGAGGAAGTTTGGGGAAGGGAAGCCCAGAGAAGGCAGTCAGTTGGACTGGACTATTTATCTGGAGATGCTAAGCTGTCCCCAAGGAATGCAAACATCCCCAGCTCTTGCCAGTATTTCTAGTGATGATTAACTCATGTTGTCAGAACTGGATCCCACCAACTTGGGATCAGGGGGAGATTGAGAGTTTCCCACAATATACACTGATTGACTCGGCAGCTGGTGAGATAATGAGCATATCCAGGTAGACAAAAATGGAAAAAAAGATTAAATGTGCAACCCTGATGAACCCTGAGCCATTCAAAAGTAGCTTTATTTTTATTAGAAGCAAAACAAAACCTCTTTTCTGTACTGAATTTCGAGGCACATTTTCTAAATCAAAACCACCTGTGAAGCGGAAGCGACTCACTTTCCCTTCCTCTTCACGTTTGTGTGACTAAGTAGCACAAGCTGGATTTTGTAGGTTGCTTTTTCTTTACTTTTTTTTTTTTTTTGGAATTTGAAAGATTCAAGTTCTGTAATGTTTTCCAGTTGTATGAAAGTGGGACAAGTTTTTTTTCTCATTCTAAGCCTGTAAGCCTGTTTTCACACACTCCAGGAAAATGTATTAATAGCCAGTTCCGTGACTAAAGACCACAAGGGATGTAGGGGTGTGGCACCAGCAGCCACAGGGCTCAGAGAAGGGGAAGGGGCTCTGCTGCGGGGAGGGAGGCAGCGCTTGCCTGCCTCTTCGCAGTGTTCTGAGCCCGCTGCAGGGCCTGGCCTTGGCCACAAGCTACCCTGGTGGAGAATGTGAGAAAGGACTCTCCATTCTGTGGGATGCATGTTTCAAATCACATATTAGAAGTCTTCATGGCTGAAAAAACAGCCTCGTTCCCATTCTCCATCTTATGCACCAAGATGATTTTGTTCAGAATCAACCAAGTCCGTGCCTAAATGGACCCATGAATAAAATGAATACTTGGACTGAAAGTTTTAATTTCATGCCATGTTTGGTATGGCTGGAAGATGCTAAATTCATCACTTCAGAGACGTACACCCTTGAATTACTGCAGAGGTGACTAGAAACAGTTTATAAACCCTGACTTCCCATTCATAGCTTGAGTCAAATTCAGGATCACCTCTCTGATATATATTAATTGGGGAGGGGGGTTCTAGGACGTAGGTTTTGAGCCAGAGGTACCTGGTGGCTCCTGTCCCAAAAAACCCCCTTCTCAGGGACTCCATCCCCACCCACAGTCCCTGGTATATAGGGAGGGAATTCTGTAACCTTGGCCCCCTGCCACCGCTGGCTGGCCTGGAGTGTGTCTGACCCGAGGGGGACACACCTCTAGGCTGGCCAGGAGCCTGGGACAGAATGGCCAGGCTCAGGAGGATGAGCTGAGCCAATCAGACCCTCTCTCAGGAGCTCAGAAGGCCGTACACAGGGAGATTTCTGCCAGAAGGCTGTGGGCTATAGAGCAGAGAGGTCACTTGGTGTTGGAGTCTGGGTAATGCTGAGCCAGATACAAGTTCTCAGGAAGCCCGCTGCCAGTTTTGGGGGGTGGAGGTGGAAAGAGTGTCAGGTGAGAGTTGAAAGGAGGAAAAGGGGAGACCGAGACAGTTGGTAATAAGAGGGACCCAGGGAGTGAGTGAGACCTACACATCATCCCTCCAAGCAAGACAGAGAACAGGGCCATGGGAGAGAGAGAAGGAGGAGGAAAGACCACGGAAGGAGCGAGTGAGAAAAAAAAGCTCAGAGATACCAAAGAGAGAAAAACTGGCCCCAGAGGTATTCTGGGTCCCGCTCCATCCACAGCTGTTCTCTATCCCAAATTTCCCAGATCTTTCTGGATCCTTCCATCAATAATAATAGCATCTTCCCAAACTCTCCCCTATTGTACCCCCAACCTTTTGCCTGACCTACTCTGGGTGGATTCCTACCATCCAAAAGGAGGCCTGTTGGTCCACCTTGTTGGGTTTTGTTCAGGGACAGGGCAGGCATCTCTCCTTTAAACAAAAAGAGACATTTCCCTGTGAAAAAGCCAGCTGCTAACTAGTGAAGATGGACCAAAGGCCCTTGGACTAGATCTATGGTGAGTGACAGAACAGAGGATGGTCCACCAGTGGATGGTCCAACCAGTGGGTGGTTCCTGTCCTGGAGAATACTCACTACAGACAGACATAGGATTAGGACTCCCAGACCAAATGCCTGGGGAGTGACGATACACAGGTTACAACACACGTATTGCCATCAATCCCAGAAGAGGTGGCGGCTCCTTGAAATACAGCAAGGGGGCAACCTCAGGCAAATAAAAATATATTATATATTTATATATATATATATAAAATATATATACACACACACACACGCACACGGGCCAATAATAATGTCTGTGAATTTATTAATATGAAAGCCTGGTCAAGTCTGAAAGTAAGAATTACCTTCAGAGAAAATTTATGTAATTTCATGAGTGAGAAAATCAAACAGGTTATTAGAGGAAAACAAATGTTTCCAACAGAACTCTAACCTTTGAAGCTGACATGACTACTGGGTGATTCACCCTGGGTCTCTTGTTGCCACTTGTCAAGAGTACTGCCGGGATCTGGTGAGGGTGAGTCACATCACAGATTTCAGGGGAAGGGGCACAGGAACCACTCACACTGAGCTGCCTCCCTTCTCAAAGGTAATGCTCCCTGGGCGCTACAGGAATCCAAAGAGCCAACTCCAGCTTAGGGCTACTGCCTGAATTTCAGGTTCAAACGTCCAACTGCCTCCCGAACCTAGCACACTCTATCTTGGTGTGCTACAGTCACTTCCAACTCAACAGGTCAAAAAGGGAATCCATCATCTTCTGTTCCCAGACCAGCATCACCCTATGTGCTTCTCATCACTGTGACTGGCAGGAATCTGCACCAGATCAATAAGGTACCTGCACCAGAATCACCCTTGTCGTTCCACACATCAAATTAGGCACAAAGCCCTACTGACTCTGCCTCCATAATATCAAATCTGTCTCCTCTCAAGGCCCTGATCCTTGCTCACCTTGATTGGGCCAGGATTAAAACAACTGGTATCCTAAAACATCTCCCTGTGCCTCAAAAAGATGATGCAGCTTGTCCAAGATTTCTCCAAGTGAGCTCCAAAGTGAGCAGCAGCTTTGGGACTGACCACAGTAAAATCTGTATGGCTCACCATCACTTCTGAACCACACAAAGCAGTATTATGCCTACAGACAATGTTCTTACACACAGAAATTTGTAGTGAAGTACAAAACTATGCATGAGGATGACACACTCCACCTTCTGGATACAGATTACTGACAGAGGGGCAGGGAGGGCTTGGGGTAGGTGGATGAGCTTTAATGGTATGTGTAATATACAATTTCCCTGTTAAAAAATCACAATATAGTAACATCTATATATCTGGGTGGTGGGTATTTGAGGGAAGGGAGAAGAAATGTGTGAGAAATATCAGAAAGGGAGACAGAACATAAAGACTTCTAACTCTGGGAAATGAACTAGGGGTGGTGGAGGGGGAGGAGGGTGGGGGGTGGGGGTGAATGGGTATTTGATATATTAGATAATTAAAGTAGAAAAAATTAAAATACACACAATCAAGAACAAACATAAACCAGTCTGTAGGACTTCAAAGCTGGCACCACTGGATTGGCATCTCATGGGAAGGCTCCGTCCTGGGCACCAAGAGAGGTTCAAGGGATGCCCTTCTCTCTTCGATGTACACTGCTATCTTTGGTGTTTAAGAAATAGGGTGCTGATGCTTCTTAAAGTAAGCATGGCCCTGCCTGCCCTTCCCAACCCATGGGAGGGACAAAAATGGGGAGGGGGACATGCAGGCATGAGGATGTTTTCCAACATATCCCTCTCTGACCTAAGAGACAAGATCAAAGAAAATTATCAACTCCCCAAACCCCATCACCCACACGTTATTGAGATGCAGTTGGAAGTGTCTCCGGAATATCAGACCCAGGCAGCCCCCTCCCTGGGGTGGGGGAGGAGGCTGGAGAAATACCTCCTGGCTGAGCAACTTGGAGCCCCAGAACGCTGTTCAACAGCCTCTAGTTCAATTTAAATTCCCATTAAAAACCACCAATCAGACTGATTAAAATTCAAATCTACCTAAACTCATTTGGAGGGCGGGGGGGGGGGGGGGGAAAGGGGAGATGCAAAGGGAAAAAAGAGAACATACTGGAGCAAAGGAGAAGCTGGTTAGGATTGTAGCTGGAGGCAGGTGCATTTTCAGAACTGGTCATAAGATATTCAGAGCTTGAATAGAGAGCTTTAGGGAAACAATTCAATCTAAAGCAATACTAGTGCAATTCTACAGCGGGGGAGGGGCAGAAGGCACGAGTAGATAACCACAATCCCTTTCCTTTCCTTGCCAGTGAACTGGGGGTAGAAGAATGTTCTTTGGCAAATGTCAGTATGCTGAGCTTTTGGTTGCACTGGATATTATACACTCTTCTCGCCAGCAACACCCCTGCTCCCCACTGCAGACACATACACCCTTTCTCCTGGACCTTACTCCCCTCATCAACATGGCACCTGGCGACCTGTCAGTGTTTTTTTTTTTTTTAATTGGAGTTCAACTTGCCAACATATAGCATAACACCCAGTGCTCATCCCGTCAAGTGCCCCCCTCAGTGCCCATCACCCAGTC